AGAGGAGGAAGGAGACCCGTATACTGTGTCACCTCAGTTGGAGTTAGAAGAGGCCATTAGGCTTTCTGAGCTAAAGAAAGATTCTGAACTCTTAATTCATTCATCACCTTGTATTCCAGGACATCCTAAAGTGCCTTGTCCAGGAGAAGAGAAATCCATCCACCACAGAGCTCAGGCCACTGGAGAAAGCTGCACTATGCGAATGGCCACACTTTTCAGTCCAAACGCTTCAGCAGGAGAGCTCACTGTGCTGTCTGCACAGACCGTGTAGGGGGACTTGGCCGCCAGGTATAAAAGTGCACCAACTGTAAACTCTTGGTTCACAAGAAGTGCCACAAACTTGTCACAATTGAATGTGCGCAGTATTCGTTACCATCAGAGCCCATGGTGCCAGTCGATCCATCATCCATGGCTTCAGACCCTTCACACACAGTGATCCCACATAACCTTTCAACTCATGAGGCTTTAGAACAAGTTGATGAAGAGACTGAGGCAGGGAACACTGGGAAAAGTGGCAAAGCTTCATTTGGTTTAGGTCTTGAGGACTTTGATTTGCTCTGAGTGATTGGCAGAGGAAGTTATGGGAAAATACTGTTAGTCCAATTGAAAAAATCAAGTTGTATGTATGCAATGAAAGCAGTGAAAAAAGAGCATGTCAACATTGATTGGGTACAGAGAGAGAAGCTCGTTTTACAGCCGGCATCCAATTGTCCTCTTCTAGTTGGACTGCATTCTTGCTTCCAGACAGAAAGCAGACTGTTCCTTGTTCTAGACTATGTCAATGGGGGAGCGCTACTGTTTCATGTGCAGCAACAAAGAATGCTTCCTGAAGAACATGCCAGGTTTTACTCTGCAGAAATCAGTTTAGCAGTCAATTATCTTCATCAGCAAGGAATACTTTACAGGAATTTAAAATTGGAAAATGTATTACTGGACTCAGAAGGCCACATTAAACTCATCGATTATTGCTTGTGTAAGGAAAGCTTACAGGCAGGAGATACGACCAGCACTTTCTGTGGCACTCCTAATTTCGTGGCTCCAGAACTTATAATAAGGGAAGATTACAGTTTCAGTGTGGACTGGAGTACTGATGTATCTGATGATGACCGGAGAGTCTCCATTCCATCTTGATGAGAGCTCTGATAACCCTTATGAAAACTCAATCAAGTTTGTCTTGCAAGTAATTTTGGAAAGAGACATTGTCATACCTCGTTTTCTGTCTGTACAAGCTGCAAGTACCCTAGAGAGTTTTCTGAACAGGGACCCAAAAGAACAACTGGGCTGTTATCCTCACAGGGGCTTTGCTGATGTTCATTTCTGGAGCATCCATTTTTTCAAAATGTGGACTAGCACATGATGGAGCAAAAGCAGGTGGTGCCTCCATTTAAACCAAATATCTCTGAGGGATTCAGTTTGGACAACTTTGATCCTGAATTTACTAATGAACCTGTCCAGCTCACCCCAGATGATAGTGATATTATGGAGATTGATGGATATGAATTTGCAGGTTTTGAGTATATCAGTCATCTTACAATGTATGAAGAAGAATGGGTCTGATCCTCATTTTTCAACTATGCATTTTTCTTACGTTGCCATTTAATGCTTGGAAAAACTTGTTACCAGCCTGGATAGAATTAAACATTTCAAGAATTGTCTGGAAGCTAATTTTAATTTATTGTTTTGAAGTTATAGTTAGATGTAATACTTGATTCTTATAGTCTATAGTAGAGAATGTGGAGTTTTTTGTTCATAGATTAGATTTCGATGAACTGATTTAAATAACAATGAGGCAATCACTTGTTAGCCACACTTATATATACATTCCATTTGTTGAGTGGGACATAATGCCTAATATTTTATCTGTTTACGTATGATACAAGAAAACAATTTGTCTTTTCAGTAAAATATCTTACCTATGCTAGTTTCTCTCCAACCACATTACCTGTACCTTTTGGGCTCAGTTTATGTAGTCTTCAGGAAAATCCAAAAAATAGCAACAATTTTGAATAAAAGTGCATATACTTGTATCTTTTTTATATGAAGAAAATACAATATATGACTGCAGACTTTGGAAGGGTGATGTTCTCATGAAATGGGGCATCTGAAAGTGGTTAAAGGGTGATTTCTTAAATGTTTACAAGTTTTAAATCGTTCTGAATTTGAAACTAGATCATTAACTAAAGTTAAGATGCTATATATCATCCTATTTTAGTATCATTTTTATGCCAAGGATTTGAAAGGTAACCATCCTCATCTAAATGTAAATAAGTTATAATGGTACAATCTTAGTTTAATTTAATTTTAGTTAGGGATTTGTAAACATTTGATAAATTGTCTTTTGATCTTTTTTGGATGCCCCATTCCATGAGAAATATTACTTTCCCAGTGCTTGTGGTCATGTATTATCTTTTCTTCATATAATTTAGTTTGAAACTAATGAAAACATCAAAGGAAAATGTTTATAGACATTCACATATTCATTTCCGAGGCATGTATGTTTCTCTTAATGACTGGAACTTGTTTTAAAACAAAATGCGGTATTCACAACATAAGCTTATAGAGAATTCTAACATGTCAGAAATATGTTTAGGATCTTGCTTTTAAGTGTTGCTCTTTTCCATAGGGCATTTCAGAATGTAGAATAATCACCCAGGGTGTTTGTTTAACATGTTTATTACTGAGCCACATTAGAGTTCTTTTGGGCTTTTGAACCTCATTTTGAGAAACACTTTCTTCAAGATATTCTTTTGTTCTCCAGTTAAATAATAGAAAGTGTGTTCATAGTATAATATTTTAAGATGGGACAAGCAGAAATTTACAACTGTATGAACATTTTTGGACAAATTTTACATGAATGACTTCATTAGATACCTTCCTTGTTCCCCTCAACAAAATCTTGTCAGTTTTCTGCCAGTGACATCCAAATGATGAGCATTTTTCTTTGATGAGGTTTTTCACCATTATTCAGGGTGGTCTTTTGTTTTTCAGTTTTTTAAGTAATAAGATTGTATATTTTATAGAGAACTGCATTACAAATATGTTTTCAACTGTTTTTGTAGTATTTAAGTGTTATGTCAGTTCTTTTCATGTCATATAGAAATTGTCTCAAAATACTCTTTAGGGAAATAAGTCACTTTATAGTCAGAATGGTTGGCATTCTGGGGTTCTAAAAAAATTTATTTTGCATAATCTGTAGCCAGATCATTTTATGCATATGTAGCTTGGGTTAAATTTCAAGTACTGTGTTCAGCACTGGTATATTTACTGTATAAATTTGTTTTGTTTTGATTTTTGTCAAGTGGAACAGTGCCTTGGTCATCATAATGTAATCTGTGTTGTGTTCTTCTTTTTTCATGTTTACAGCCTTTAAATAAAACATTTACTATAAATTTTAAAAAATATATTCATTCATTCATTCATTCAACAGATATTTGTGGAGCTTTCCCATGTGCTGCTTGGTGCTCTGGCTTATCTTTGTATACTCTGATGATCACAGCACTGATATGTAGCAGGTAATAGGAATGAGCATAGTTGGGATGCGGTTATTGAGAATTGCTACATAGCCCATTTCCGGCACTGGCGAATTGCCCTGTGGTATGGTGTATGAAATCATCTTAGCCTTTCACTCACACTCACAGGTGGGCTCTCTTCCTGTGATCTCACCGTGTGAGAAAGCTGTCCTATCTCTCTTCCCGCCACCCCAGTGCAAAACTCCTCACCGTGTCCTGGATGCCCAACCCTGTTCTGTATCTACATCTGCCATATCCAATCAAGAGAACTACCTGTAGTCTTAACTTCTTCCTCCACCGCTGACTTGCTTCTCCAGTGCAACATATGTGTCATATTGCACCAAGAAGGGCCATTGCACAGCACCACTAGAGCCAGAGTCTTGTGAGCTGTACAAGGACAGCATGGAACAAACAAATACCAGATCATAGGAAATGCCAGGGGCAATCGCCTCCAGGAGCAGGACAAAGGGAATGTGAGGGTGGAACAGAGCAATCAGCCACCACTCTGCCCATACACTGACCAGGAGTGTGAGTCATCTTGAATATGTCTGTTGTCCACATTGTTCTTGGCTGTCAGACTCCAGACCTGATGGCCCTTCTCTCTATCAAGTCTGTCTGTTTTCTGTTAGCCTGGTATGTTTCCTGACAATCCATGAAAAAAGCCTCATTAAAGTTAACCTGGTCTGTGATTGTATCTCACATTGGCCATTAAGCATAGACTAGAATTCTAAAGTGACTCATTTAAGTTAGTTGTTTTATAGGGCTTTAGGGATCATTTTCCATCATTTATTGTATTTGTGCTTGAAATATATTTGATGAATTTTGTAACATTAAAATATGCTACTTGGCACTTAATTTTTAAAAATTAAAATATGCTAAGAAATGACTGTTATTACAGAATCTTTTTTGGACTCTCTTAAGGACCCAGCATCTAGTTTTAAGTTGCTATCCAAAACAAACATTTTCTTTATAAAACTTGCTGTCTCATTCTGGATGATGTGAGGGATTTTGGGAAGATCTCCTGTCCTCTCTGGACCACAGCATCTAGTGCTATGGGCTGAGGTCTTAAGTTTTCAGAGAAGCAGTGCAGGGGTCTGCTCAAAATGGAAATCCATCTACCACTGCTCCCTAGACCACGTGTTTTCTCATCCAACTTGCATGGAATGTGATTGGCTATTTAAGGAGTACTATAATCCAATCAGAAATTCCTACTTAGAAATTGTTTCTCAGTGGTGCTTTCCGCTGTTGTGGTGGCATCTCTAAGGAAAAAGTCACATCAAAGTTCAGTTGAGAGAGTCACTGAGCCACTCACTTTTGGCTTTGAGAATCCTAAGTGTGTGAGAAGGTCATTGGACATCTGGGGAAATATAGTACCGACTAGCAGTCACGAAATCAAGCTGCATTCAAGCAGTTTACCTTATAGTTGGGATGGCCCAAATCCAGTGAGGTTACATACTGATGCACTGCATTCTGCTCCATACCATTAATAAGTGAAAGGCTAGAGCACAGACTTTATTTTACTACAAACACACACTCACACACACACACACGTGTGTGTGCTTTTGCTTTTCATTTCTTAGAAGGAAATCATATGTAAGGTAATAGAAAGCAATGGGTAGGACCAAAGGCTCTTGAAGTCAGAAAAACCCAATTTAAAATCTTAACTACACATGTTTTAGCTTAGTGACCTTGGACATATTGTTTAACCTCTCCCAGACTCAGATAATTCACCCATAAAAGAGAGAGGCTGACACTGACCATAAAGGGCTATTGAGAAGACCCCAGTAGACAATTTAGTTAAGTGTTCAGCATGGTGTCTGGAAGATAGAACTAGATAAACAGTTGAGAGGTTTAAACAACAACAACAGCAACAACAAAGAAGGAAAACTGACCTGAATTTTGAAAGTTTTTAGATATGATATTGAGGTTTTATAGTCCAAATTTAGGGTCAAGATTTCTTCACTTGCTTCATGCCTCTTCACATTGCTCTCTGCAGTCAGTTGCTGGGGCAATCACTGCATGGCTAGAAGCAGGTCCACATGAAGTTCAAGGGCAATAGACTTCTGTATGCCAGCATCTTGGATTATTATTATCCAGTTCTTTCTGTGCAGCCCTGCTGTTTACAATTGAGTAAACTGAGGCTCAGAGGGGTTACTTACCTTGTCTACATGCTGAGCAAATGGTAGGATTGCAGTGTAATCCAGAACTATATAGTTTCAACACACATCCACTTTGCTCTGATCTTCATGGCTTCTCTTCACTCACCAGTCTTATCATTTAGAAACTTCTTGAGTAGGCAAAAAAGCAGACCTGGAAAGGCAGGGGCAGAGTTGAGCGTGGACCACACTCTATTCTAAACCTACCTCAGGAGTCTTTCCAGAAATTTGGTTTCTCTTGAGGTAACATTGAGGAAGTTTGATCAAATTACCAGCAACTGAAATAGCTATTTATATTTAGTTTTGTTTTCTTAGACTCATGGGAAATCATCACCCTCAGGCAGGAGCTGATGGCCACACACAATGACAGACACTCAGTAATGGAGCGATAATTACCAAGGTCATAGATCCCACTTTGAGCCAAATCTGATTTGGGGGGCTTGTCACTGCTGGACATACCAGCATTTAATCTCTATTTGGGCAGAGCTACCCTGGATAAAGTTCAAGTCCGTCTGCATTAAAATGATGTCAGCTATGTGGAGGAAATTTGGAGACCAGAAATATAAATAGTTACTGCTTTGGAAGGGCAGATTCAGGAAACCCTGTTTCTAATTTGACAAAGTTGCAATGGGTGCAAGTGACAGAAAGTTCCCTAGGAGAGCCATGGGACTGTGTGTGGCTTGGGAACACAGAAAGGAAGTTGAGGGACAGGCTTGAATTTCTCCAGAGGCCATGAACCAGTGTCTTCTAAAGGGAAAGGAGGGAAAAAAATTACAATAAGCAAAATAGCAAGATAAACTTGAAGTTTACTGTAAGTTGGCCTTGGAATAGCATCTGAAGGGAAGCATGAGGATGTTTGTGGTGGGAGAAGCTAACACAAGTGTTATAATAATAAGCAAAACAGGAGAGAACAATCTTGTCTGACCAAGACCAGCAAGGACATCCTGGGCCACATCTGTTTTCTCACACTTTGACCGAACTCACCAGATTTCAGGGTGTGAACTTGTGAGTGAATAAAAATGTCTGCTTCTCCAAGGCACCATGTCCTGTGGTGTGGGGGTACAGGTAGTCCCACTGAGATGACAGAAAGATGCTCTAGCTTGAATTTCTCCCAGAAGCAGATACTGCGATAAGAATTCTGGGGCAAATAGTGGGTTTTTTTGGGGGGGGGAAGGGGGTGATTGCAGGAAACATCGGTAGGGACGGAGTGGAAAGTGAGACTGATGGGGGAGGCAGCCAATTGAAGCTACTCCATCAAGCAAGTTTTCCCTGTGACAAAGAGAGCTGAATCCCATCTGCGCACTGGGAGCCAGCGGAGATGCTGGTCAGGGAGTCATTCCACCCTCAGAAAGGGTCTGGGTGTGGTGTTTGGTGGTGGGAACTAGAGAGATGGTTGGGTCCTGACGACGTTCACTTTTAATCCATTGATGAGTTTGCAGCTGAATGAGCTACTGGGAGGTGGGGAAACTGGCGGGTCCAGTTGGAGGAAATAGGTCACTGGCAGTACACCTTTCAGGTGTATCTTGTCCCTGGTCTCTCCCTCTTCCTCTCCCTCTTGCTTCCTCTCTCTGGATTTTCCCTACTCTTCTACCTGGCCTCCGTGAGGTAAACTACTTTCATTCCTCACACTTTTTCACCATGATGTTTCTGTCCAACCACAAGCCTAAAGCAACAGAGTTAGCTGACCATGGCCTGAAACCAGGAGCCAAATAAGCTTTTCCTCTTTTAAGTTGTTCTTCTCGGTATATTGTCACAGTGATGAAAAGCTAACTAGCAGTATATTTGAGCACCATCTGCCAGCATTGGGAAAGGGCCTTCTTTCACACAGCATGTGACCATTGGCTCTTGGTGGGCCCTATGCAGAGGCTCTGCAGCAAAAATCAGTGGCCCATGAGACACTCAGACAAAACATCACAGGTTTGGGGGGCATTGGGCTGGCATTTATGGTGCTGGGAAATACTGAAGGGAAGCAGTTAGGGCGCAGGCAGCATCTGCTGCAGGCAGCTTTTGGAAGAATCACTGGAAGTGCAGATTTAAGTGTTGTGGTGTTTCATATGCAGACACCCTGGCTGAACAAGAAAGGGGTGGGGAGAACAAGAACCACCTTAAGAAAGGAAACTAGCTCAGTTAGGAGCCAGTGGTGTCAGAGGGGGCCAGAAGAAGCAAGCAGAACCCAGCATATTCTTGCCTTTGCCCATTCCCTGTGATAAAAGGGAAATTCTGTGTCCTCCACTGGGGCTCAATCCTTCAAGTACTCTATGTTCTCATGCTGAGGACCATGTGGGCAGCTATGAACACAGCCACTTCTTGAAAGTGGAGCTGAACATGGGAGAAAAAGTTTGCTATGTCAAAAAAAAAAATACGGCTGCTTTTGTTGGCACAGGAAGTTTCATAGATCAGGGGAAAAAGGAATCTCTGAGCCCTCTTTTGAAGCCATCTAGGAGTCAGGCTGTTTTTCAAACGAATTCTTGGGCCAGAATAAACTTCTGTTTTGCCGACTCTGCCACTCCTGCCTCCACCCACTCTCCTCCAGCAACGAGCCTAGCCAAGGCTGCTCTGATACCAGCCAACCTTCTGGAGGCATCCAGAGCATCGATTTGAAGCAGGGTGAGGCGTCTCCCTTCAGCAAATTGGCCCATTCATCCACTGGGTTTGGAAATAGCCTCTCTGGACTCTCATGGTACAATCTCTTCCTATCAGTGGGGCATTGATTTTCGCTGTTACCCAGGTGATAATGTAAACTCCTCTGAACCAGTCAGCCCAGGGAACTGAGTTGTAGGAAGCTGAACAATGGCTTCCCCTCAAATCAAAATCTGATTTCTGGGACATGTAAATGTTAACTTATTTGGAAAAAGGCAATACATGTGATTAAGTTAGGGGTCTTGAGATTATCCTGGTTTGTCTAGGTTGGCTCTGAATGCCATCACACAGACAGAGAGCAATAAGACACACAAAGGGGAGAAGGTGACGTGACGCTGGTGTAGAGGCAGAGGCTGGAGAGATCGTTTACAAACCAAGGAAGGTGGACAGCCACCAGGCATGGAAGGGGCTCAGGGAGGGAGTGGAGCCCTTTGGCACCTTGATTCTGGATTGCGGGCTCCAGACTGTGAGAACAAATTTGTCATTTTAAGTCATGAACTTGGTGGTAATTCCCCCATCTTATAGATGTACTATATAGATCTAATTCCAACTTTGGGCCCAAACTGCACAGAAATATCCCAATTCTGTGAGCAACTCTGTAGCTTATTCTTCCTTTATCACACCCATTCTAGACAAGTCAAGTTGACTTCAATTGACTGAATTTTTTTTTCCCCTTTGTTTATCCCTCATCCTTCTCTTTTTGAGTTCTTTCTTTCAGATGACTCCTGTCATTGTACTTCTCTGTCCCTAACTCTGTTCCCTTAGCAATGCTTTCCACTGGTGTTTTATTTTTCTCTCAAGTTGCCTCTACCCTTGTCAAGGCTTTTAGTTCTTCTATGCTCAGTGATAGAATGCTCTTAGGCCCCAGCAACGATGATGAGTCAAGCTAGCACACAGTGAGGTGGGGATTGTGAGGGGGGCTCTCTTCCTTACCCCAGTGCTCACAGAGCCATGAGAAAAGAATCAAATGTATCCCTGCTGTCTTAGTTTTTTTCTCAACACTGACACCCACAATTTAAAGGAGGAAAGGTTTATTTTGTCTCACTTTTAGTTCAAGGCAGAAGTGGCACGGTGGAAGGGACTGGCAGAGGAAAGTGGCCCACATCATGGTGGTCAGGAAGCAGAGAGAGAAGGGAGGAGCCAGGGAGGGAGATGCCCCTCTGGGCCCCCAGGGACCTGCCTCCTTTGACCAGGGCCCACCTCCTAACAGCACATTCAGCTTTGAGTGTATCCACTGATGAATACAGCCCCCATGATCCAATCACCACCCCTGAGCACATAAGACTTTTGGGGGGCCATCTAGATTTAAACCGTAACACCTGCCCTGACAAGGGCTAGTGTCCAGCAGACCTAGAAAACAGGGACATCTCTTAGATGTCTTTGTACCCCATTAACAGTCACTGCCCAATCAGAAAATTGAAGGATGCCAGAGATTTCAAACAAAGAATTCAATCTGGGGGAATTGATTTTAAAATCTGGAAAGCAAAAAATAGAAAGGTAAAGGAAGCCAGAATTTAGTGACTGGAGATAGCAGCTACCATTACTCAGGCTAGGGAGCAAAGGGGCAAATGTCGAACCCAGATGTTCCACTGGACCACAGAAGTGGCCACAGCTGGAGCCACATTGCTGTTACTGCTGTAGCGCCATCATCACACTGGTGTGGGTTCTGTCTTGACTGCCACTGTGGCCACAGCAACTGCTGCTTCTAGAGGTTAGAAAACATGACCCATCCCTGGATTTAGGGGTACTTTTTAAGGTAAATACCTGGAATCCCTGTTGAAGGGGAGGGATGCTAACGGTGTAACTATGGATACAAAGCTCCATGGACATGGGTATATTCATGAGTGCATGAGAGCTTTCACTACTTACTGCCCAGTTCAGTTGTGCTCACATCTGATGTTCTCATTGCCCACTGTCCTCCTTCACAATACTTGATACCTGAGAATGATTCCACGTATCATTTGTATCTATTTATTAGAGCCATCTCGCCATGGAGACTGCTAGTTCTGTGACTGGGTCCCTCTTATTTTCTCTCTATCCCCTGTACCTGTCACCTAATTGCTACTCAGTGCACTGTTAACTGACCCCCAACTCGGGGGGACCTCAAGAGATATCTGTTTTTCTTCTTGTAGAGAACATAAGTAGAGATTCAAAAGGCATGGTCTCAGGGGTGGTGGCACATGCCTGTAATCTCTGCTACTCAGGAGGGTGAGGCTGGAGGATCACAAGTTTGATTCCAGCCTGGGCAATTTAGTGAGGCCTTGCCTCAGATAAATAAATAGAAAGGGCTAAGGATGCACTTCGGTAGTAATAGCACCCCTGGTGCTGTAAGAAGAGAAGAGGGGAGGGGAGGAGAGAGAGCTGTCACTCAACTACGGTTACATTATTCAACTTTTCACAGAAAAGAAAAGTGTTGAGAATAGGATTGCAAAGCGCAGGAGACATAATATCCCGAAGGACACAGTCGCTCTGGGGATGTGGTTTGGTGGTTCCTGAAGCAGGTGAGTCTGGGAA